CCCCCCACTGCTACCATGAGTTTTTAGTGGAGTAGATCCTATAAGTGAGATGCATCAGTCAGTCACAGGGGCACAAGATTCCTTCTGCCAGCTATTGACACATGCCACTTCTTAACTCCCAGTTGCCTTGCCGCTCAACACTCATGATGATGACAAGATCGTGGGAGGCTACACCTGTGCAGAAAACTCTGTGCCCTATCAGGTGTCCCTGAATTCTGGGTATCACTTCTGTGGAGGTTCCCTCATCAGCAGCCAGTGGGTCGTGTCAGCTGCTCACTGCTACAAGAGGTGAGTGGGAAAAAAATATTGATTCTTCCATAACCTACTTCTTTCTTCCAGTTCATTTCTAGCAGGAATTCTGAGCTGTGACATCCAAATCTGTAAGTGACTCTGTTCTGACAGGAGACAACCAAGGAATGGGTAGCCCATTCAATAAGCCAGGCTGAGGCATCATAAGGGGTTTTCCACTTCTGCAAATGTTTCTGTGAATGCAGAACACTTTCTGGAATGACAATGTGATGAGCTAGCAACGAATTACGGGCTATGACTTCTTATAAATTGCATTAATCTTGCTAAAACTCAACCAGTGGAGAACAGGAAGAGGAATGAGATCAGGGTGGTAGCAGTTTGCCTTTTTCCAGGTTGCTCGTGCAAAGCACTCTTCTATATTTGTATTTGACTTGTCCCAGTTCAACAGAATCAACCTGCAGAAATTCACCACGTGTGCTGGGAGGGCATAAGATCTCAGCGCAGATCCCCAGGGCTTATTGCAGGACAGGAAAGATAACCTGCATGAAAACAGCTACTACAACAGCCATGTTGAAGCAAGTGCAAGTGGCAGGGAGGTCCCTCATAACGTGTCGGCACCAGTAAACTATATGCCATTCCTTCTCTTTTCCAGTCGCATCCGAGTGCTGCTTGGGAAACATAACCTGGCACTTACAGAGTCAACACAGCAGTCGATTTATTCATCTAAAGTCATCCGCCACTCTGGCTACAGCTCCCAGACCCTGGACAATGACATCATGCTCATCAAGCTTTCTCAATCCGCCCAGCTCAGCCGCGCTGTCAGCACAGTTCCTCTGCCCACCAGCTGCGTGGCTGCGGGCACCACGTGCCTGATCTCTGGCTGGGGCAACACCCTCAGCAATGGCTGTGAGTACTTTTTGGGAATAGAAGTGCTGTGGGACAGGACTATGTCAGTGATCAGTCTGTGTAGAATCAGCCATGTCAACAGAGTTACCAGTTCTCTGAGAACAAGATCAAAATCTGTGATTGGGGATCTAAAATTACTACAAGAACACTCTTCTCTTACACCAACGGTCAGAGGTGCAGATGGTCACTGGTCTCTAATCCATTGACAACAGCTAAACCTGCATCAGAGGAGAGGATGGTTTTCCTGGGGTCCAGGTTTCCTCCTGCACAAGAGTAGCTCTTCGCTCCACACTTGCCTACTGATGATTTTCTGGGTATCAGAAAACTTAACGTGGCTGTAGTGTAGAGCAGGGGACCCACGGGTAGAATCTGTTCCATTTAAACAAAAGGTGTCCATCTGTTCCATCTAAACAAAAGGTGTCCAATGCTGTGGTTACTGTTCAGAGGAAAAACCATGACTGCCAGAACAGGACGTTCCATGATAACTTCTCTGCTAAGGAAGATCTCCTCTGGGCTCTGAAGTGAGCTCAGAGATGTCATTAACTCTCTCTACTCTGTTGCAGATCTGTATCCCGACACCTTGCAGTGCCTGAATGCTCCCGTTCTCTCCGCAAGCGAGTGCAGCGCAGCCTACCCTGGAGACATCACCGATAACATGATATGTGTGGGATACCTGGAGGGAGGGAAAGACTCCTGCCAGGTGAAAAGTCTACCTCTCCTTTCCCATATGTTTCTCTGCTGCCTTTTGCTAGTAGAAGAGGTTGTCCTATTAGAGAATCTGCTCTGCTCACTGCACTGGCGTGTCTCAATGTTGGTTTTTTGAACAACGGCAGAGACTGGGTGAAAGTTGCTTGCCGAGTGAGGTTTTTTGCCACCCCTTGTCCCTTTTTTGAGACAGTGAATACCTCTGTCCTAAATCTCCACGAGCAGACTATGCTATCTCCTCATCCTTGGTCTATGGAAACTGGGGGAGTGCTTCACCAGCAAGTCAATAGTCATCACGATGACTTTGGAGCTTAGGATGCAAATGTTAGTTTTGGACCCACCTAAAATGAAATAGCCAGTGTGCCAAGATCCAGGCAGGCTGGAAAATGAACACACCTGACAATTGCTCTGCATTGTACATGTGCCTAGCTCCATGGAAATATTTGGCAGAATAATGTTTAAGACACGCATATCCTAAGTGTCTACCAAGGACCGCATCCATCAGCAAACAGCAGCTGAACTCATCCTTAGCTGGGGTGCCCTCGCAGCTAAAGTAAGGCAGAGGAGCATCAGGTGTAGAGTGGTGGTCAGAAATGACCTTTGTAGAACCTTCGTGGAGTGAAAGCCCAATGGAGCTCCCTTGAACGCCAGTGATTTCTGAGATCTCTGGCTCATCGCTTACGCTCACACCATTTGCTGAATATCTGCACCTTTTTTCTACACAGGGCGATTCTGGCGGTCCAGTCGTCTGCGACGGGGAGCTCCAGGGCATTGTTTCCTGGGGTTATGGATGTGCGGAGGAAGGCTATCCCGGGGTTTACACTAAGGTTTGCAACTACGTCTCCTGGATCGAAGAAACTATAGCTGCCAACTGAGACAATCTAGTTCTGTGTGACCTACTTTTTCTCCTCATCACTTTCTTCTATTTTGGAACTGGACATACAAAAATTAGCAAAAAATAAAGACTTTCAGGCACCTTTTCTTTGTGCAAGCTTTCTCTGTGTACTTCCATAGGCTATGATATGGAGGACAGAGGAAGTCACTGTGTCACTCCGGGGAAAACATTTAGTATTTGTAGTGCCTCTCAACTAACAGGATCTTGGAATATTTTGCAGACTCTTCTTCAGGAGTCTTTCAGTCCATTCCGCACAGCCACTTCTGGAGCAGAACATTTTTTCTGTTTGTCAGCACATACTCAGGTGCTGCAAAACTGCCTACACCAGCCAAGACAGTGCGCTGAACCACACAGGCAGCATGCTCCTACTGTAGAAACCAGCAGGCAGCAGGACAAAGGGTCCTCATTGCTCCTACTCCCACCTCCAACAATATGACTGAACCTTCCCTAGTGGAACCTCCCTGAAAATTCTACTTGGGGAATGAAACAACCTCATGCTAGGGCTTGATCTTTTCATGTACCAGTGCCACCGGGGCTGCTGTCTACATCTTTTTGCTCAGGTAACTGGTTATGCTGGGTTTGCTTAGTTTTCCCAGAGGAGTCAAAACAACAGAGATTTTCCTGGGCTCTGGTTTTAACTCCTCCTGACCCCCTAGACTTGAACGTCTAGGATAAAGCTGCCAAAGTTGCCAATAGGCTGTGTAGCTGTCTCCTGAAAAAGAAAAGGGAAATAGAGAGTTTGAGTAAAATAAAAGGATAGAATCATAGAATCAGAGAATGGCGTAGGCTGGAAGGGACCTTAGAGATCATCTAATCCAGCCTCCATGGGCAGGGACGCCTCCCAACTAGACCAGGCTACTCAAGGCTCCATCCAACCTGGCCTTGAACACCTCCAGGGAGGGGGCATCCACAACCTCTCTGAGCAACCTATCCAAAGTCTTACCACCCTCGTACTGAAGAATTTCTTCCTAAGATCTAATCTAAATCTGTTCTCTTTCAATTTAAACCCATTTCCCCTTGTCCTATCAGTGGACACTCTTGTAAAAAGTCCCTCCCCAGCCTTCCTGTAGGTTCCCTTCTGGTATTGGAAGGCAGCTATTAGGTCCCCCTGAAGTCTTCTCTTTTCAAGGCTGAACAATCCCAGCTCCCGCAACCTGTCCTCGTAGCAGAGGTGCTCCAGCCCCTGGATCATCCTTGTGGCCCTCCTCTAAACACGCTCCAACAAATCTATGTCTGTCTTATGGTGGGGACACCAGAACTGGACGCAGTACTCGAGGTGGGGTCTCAAAAGAGCAGAGTAAAGGGGGAGAATCACCTCTTTTGACCTGCTGACCACTCTTCTCTCGATACATCCCAGGATGTGGTTGGCCTTCTGGGCCGCATGAGCGCACTGCCGGCTTGTGTTGAGCTTCTCATCTATAAACACCCTCAAATCCTTCTAATGATTATTTGGGGTGTGAGGATAGTGGGAAAAAGCTGGGCAGGAGTTTTCCCTCAAGGACACATATGGATATGCAACCAGCTGGTATGAATTTGTAATTATGTAATTAATTAAGGTTTAGGCCCTTCCTACAAAAGGCAGGCCATTTCTGCTTGGCTGTGGGAGATGTGAGAACATGTTGTGGAGCTGCAGCCTATGTTGGTGGGCAACATCTGGTGGCCCTGATGTGATTGTAGAATGACATAAAGAGACCCTGACTCCCTTGCCAGAAAAAGCAGGAGTGAGAATTCCTTTGACAAAGAAGGTAAAGTTGCTACCCTGACAGAAAGAGGGAAGTGAGAATTTGTGGAGTCAGAACGTTAAAATCTTTGAAGCTATTTAACTGGGTCTCTGCTCACCTTAAAGCCTTAAAAACCCCCACATATTGGCAAACAAAAAGGGGGAATTATGGATATGCATCCAGCTGGTATGAATTTGTAATTATGTAATTAATTAAGGTTTAGGCCCTTCCTACAAAAGGCAAGCCATTTCCTCCTGGCTGTGGGAGATGTACCAACCTGCTGTGGAGCTGCAGCCTATGTTGGTGAGCAACAGACACAGAACAAGGCTACATCTCATGCCTGCCTCCTCCTTGTGGGCTGTTTGCGGTAGAGCAGGAGACTTTCTTACCCTCACATGGATGGCATCCACTCCAAAATGTCTAGTGCTCTTCATTGTATGTATGATGACAAGCAGTGTGCTGATGGAAAGATCTGTGTAGTTTGACATGGTCAACATGTCCATCTACCTTATGAAAGTGAAGGGGAGGAGTAAGAGGAATGCTTTCTGAGACACACACTCAGAGCACTGACCGGTGTTTCATCAAGACACAGCCACATCTGTTCAGCTGCATGCTTCCCAGACAGCTCTGCCTTTGGGCTGATGCCTGAAGGGTTCTCATTCTTGGTCAGCCTCACATTTAACAGTCCAGCTCAGGGCTCTGGAGGCACGGTGGTCTGCAGCTTTACAAGGAAGGAAAGAAGGCAGGCAGCTGGAAAAGAACAAAATGAGAAAGGAAGAGAGGAAAGGAAGGTTGGTAGGAGGGCAAGAAGAAAGTCATAGTAGCCGAGAGTATTTGCTGCAGCTTGGGGCTCCTTGTCTGCAGGACCATGCTTGACTCCCGGATACCATTGAGCCTTGGGTTGCATGGCATGCTTCAGAGTGCTCAGGTCACAGGGTAGCAGTGTGAGTCGGAGATCTTGATGCACAGCTGTGTGCCCATTCCCTGGAGACTGCTGGGGTCAAGGGACCAGCGTGCACGTGGAAGTGCTCAGTGGCTTGATCCTGCCAGTCCTCTGGAACTCAGAGCCCCTCACAAGTGGCAGCGTGCTGAGCCCCAGGTGACCAGCGAGGCACCTGTGCTCTCAGAAACAACAGAGTGAGCTATGGAGACCCCTGCAGCTCATAGACATATGAGCACACACAGAAGTGCTCAATCCTGGGATCCCTTGCCAGATTCAACTCCAGGTCGGCCTTGGCTTTCCAGCAGGAGGAGAAGGAAAGGTCTGTGTGAACTATTCCACCTCCTGCTACCCCATGACTTAGCTTAACAAGTTGAAAGGGAGAAGAAATGGAAGAGAATGTAGGAAATAGGAGGAGGACAGGTGTGAGAGAGGACAGAGAAGAAAGAGGAAGGGGACAGAGAGAAAGAGAGTAGAGGAGGAAAGTGAGAGACAGTCTAAGGGTGGCAGAGAAATGAGGCAAGGCAGTGAGAATAAGAAGAAAGGAGGGTCAAATGGGGATTCAGAGATGGGAAATAACAGGACCAAAGTTAGAGAAAAGGCAGGAGACAGATAGATGATACCACCACTCTTCTTAAGTAGACAGAGCTGGAGGGCAGGAGAAAATGGTGTACTGTCAAATAGAGGGCTGTGTGTGTGCTGGGGGCAGACCCCTGTTTGCATGGAAGGGTTTGTGCTACGCTGCTCCAGCTTTGAAGTCACAGTGAGTCTTGCTTGGCGCAGAAATAGGTGCCCGAGTCGTTGAGTAGGACACGATCGATCTCCACAGATAAGCGGCTGCCTTTAGTTCCACTACTGTGGAAGTGGTTTCTGAATTCCTTCTCAATGTCTG